CCCAAGGAATTTCATAATGCCCTTCCACCTCTCGCGCGTCAATGATTGCAAGTGGCATTGAATGAGCCTCCTCCATCTGAAAGATAATGGGAGTTTCACATCAGCAACCATGCATATCGCAAGGAAACCTTCTTATGCAACTAACTAATAACAGGTAATGTGAATTTGATAGATTATTTCTATCTCAAAAATTACTGAACTTTGGCACAAATAATTTTGGGACACCCTGTACAAGTCAGTGCTTTTATCCTCCCAGACCAGTCTGATACCGATTAACCGACCCAGGAGGAATAGAAGGGTTGCTGGTCTGAGCAAATGTCTATGTCGGATTTGAACCGTCAACCAATCGTGTGTGATAGTACGCCATTTGCTAATGCATCACCTTCTCCCGTCATGAAATATGCCATTTGAGCTTATAGCGTCCTGTCACATGCATGGTACGAGGATCGAATCCCCGTCTTCGAAACGGTTATTGCTATCAGACTCGTCAGGGAGGTCAAAAGCATTGACTTGTACATCGGCTCGCCGCTACAGTCAATTCTATAGGCCACACATTTATTCATCAAATCACTGCTAGTCTGAATAGATGTCGAATGCAGGGCGCATTCCGAACTTGGACTGAGCAGCTTCGGAAGAATTCATTCTGGACGCTACTTACTGTTGTAATTCTCGTCTCAGCTAGAGCCTGTTATGCTCAAGGGTTCAGGCCAAGCTCATAATGTTCATGGAGCTATGCTTGTTGGAAATGAGATATGTGCGTTTTCAAAAGACACTTTCGTGATTGTGTTTTTCCCACTAACGAACGCCCTTAGATGGATATCAAATTAGGTAACCTTCATGCTGTAATCAAACAACTGGTATCTGTACAATACAGAAATCCCCAAGCCGCCAATGTTTTGCATGATAGACGCTTTCAAAAAACGGTGCCACCACGCACCAGTTCATTTGACCTCTTTGAATAGCCAGTAGTAGACAGTAGTGTAGATGAATGCGATACGATTGTTGTAACCATTCACACATCATCTATCATCTTCTAATCCGCTTATTCACACATCATCTATCATCTTCTAATCCGCTTATGTACAGGTCTGTTGAAATTTTCCTCTCCTATTTCCTTTTATGGTTTCGAATAAAAAAAAATAGTTCTAGGTAAAAGTTTTGAATTGTATTAGGTACTTCAGGTAAAACTTAAGGTGGTTGTGATGTGGCGCCAATAGATCACTATCACCCAAGCATGGACCGGGGGTCGAATCTCCGATCCACGCCCGTGCCGGCCAAGTTTTGGGGTAGGGCAATTGGTAGCAGACTCCTCAAGGAGTATAAAAGCACTGACTTGTACATCGGCTGGCCACCACAAGGTCACCAGCGCATTTGAATCGCCTCCACAATTCTGAAAGGAAGACGAATGCGGGGGTGCAACTCAAAGAGGGGACCAATCAAAGGCAAGGGCTATGCTTATCCATGGAGGTATACCTTGGCAGCGAACCGATGATTCGAATATGTTCGTGGAGTCACAATCGAGGTCGAACAGATATAGTTGGTGGACGCTTTCGCCTTATCGCTTCCGTCGGAGTCGTAAAAGACATTTTTTGTCGATGGTCCTCTTCTTGAACTCATTCATGAGCCATTATGCACCCTAATTGTTAACATCGCTGGAAGGAATCAAAACTTTGCGATTTCAGAATTGCAAGTTCATTGCAGAATGAAGCGTGGTCCCCTGGTCCTATTTGTCTAACGTCACTTCTTGAAATTTGAGCTGTCTTTCTTGAGCGTCAGACGTCTATAAGTGCATCGGATGAAATATTCCCATGCAACTGGTCAAACTACCCTATGAGGCATTAACCTTTTTGTGATGATGGGGATAATGGTGATGAAGTTTCAAGTGATGCAGGACCACATGCATGGTCCTACTTTCGAATCAGGGTTGTCCGCCAGGTCAACCTAATGTTCCATCCCTCGTGGTTCGGGTAATTGGTACCAGACTTATCTGGAAAGATAGAACCCTGACTTGTGCAACGCACGGCCTTCCCAGATCCATGTATAGAAAAATATGCTTCCACAACGCCACTACTATCCTAAACTAAAGTCGCATGCACGGGAGCGTTCTAAATTGAGACTGATCATGGCCGAGAAATATGGATTTCGTGCTGGTGGAGCTTAGAAGTACAGAAAAGCAGTACGATATGATTGGCCACGAACTTTCGTGCCTTTTGTTCACTTAGGGAGAAATTTGGAGAAGAGCTGATCACCTCTCAAGGAATCTGGATAGAAAGGGTAAATGGTGCTATCAATAGACGCCTATTGAGTAGCCCAGCTACAATGGGTCTCAACTGGAAGCGCGTATAACAAGAACACGATAGGCTGGAGTCCTTCTAGTCTCACCCTCCTACAGTATATGCCTCTGGCTTTAAATCTATCCTTCATCGGATTTCTGTTACAAAAAATGGTGTGATATACCTTGATGAATGTTGAAACTGTCTGAAGCCGGGCAAGTCTTTCTGAATGCCGAGCTCATGCACAACTAGGTCAAATCGCTAAATTCTCTTCCGTGCAACAGTTTCGCGCGGCAGAATGAGTCTCCAGCAAAATTCGCTTTTAACGCGACGCGAAAAAGTCGCCAGTTGACCTACGTCAGTCACCCTCACTAACCATGACTCGAATTCACTCCCAAGTCACTTCTCCCATAAAAAACGTATCGGCACTTTTTGTGGGAGTCTAGATGAGAAAAAGATGTAGGAATTAGACATGGATCACCGATCTTTTGCCAGACACACAGACAAAAACTCAGAACTGGGATTCATTTCTTACAATGACCCTATGGTGGAATAAAATGCACCGAATCCTCTTCCCGTCACGTATAAATACGACGTATCAAAAAAAAAACGGCAGAGTACCGAGGAGGTTGGTGGTTGGTTGAGTACTTGACGGTGCTGGATCACAGCCCCTGGTATTCAAGCCAGGATGCACAGCCAGATTGCCGTGGGGACCG